GGCCTTAGGCCCTAAATTCGCTTTGCTTCCTAACAAAAAAGATTTCAAAGTTTCCTCTTTGTTGGCAGACATCGAGAACATTTTAAGACCAATTGAGAATGTCGATAAGGACATTCTAAGGTCCAAATGCACTAATATAATCACGAACTTTCTCAACAAAGATGAAAAAGACCACTTTTTAAATAAATACTACATTAAATGCAAAACTTTTTTGAAACATCACCCTGAGATCAAGATTGTTCAGAGCGACAAAGGCAATGTCACTGTAGCAATGTACACTAGGGACTATATACAAAAATGTGAAGACTTATTAACAGACACTAAATATTATAAAAAGTTAAACAACAATCCTGTGTGTACTCTGCAACAAAAGGCTAATAAACTAGTTTCTGATTTGGTAAAGGAGAATCAAATAGATCAATCAGTTGGGAAAACTTTGAAAATTTATAATTCAATTGCTCCTAGATTTTATGCACTTCCAAAAATTCATAAACCTACTTTGTCTATGAGACCAATAGTTTCCTCAATAGGTACACCTAATGGCCCCATAGCAAGTTTTTTAACCAATATTCTCACAGAAACCTACAGTAACAATGATTTCTGCATTCAGGACTCTTTCAGTTTCAGTTCTTTTATTAATAACTTAAAATTACCTATCAATTATAAGCTCGTTAGTTTTGATGTAGTGTCTTTGTTTACTAATTTACCTTTACAAACAATTCTGGTTAGTGTTGAGAAACACTGGGATGACATATCAATGCACACAACTCTTAACTTATCTAATATCAAAAAACTCATTTCTTTTGTTTTTGACTCTAATGTTTTTATTTTTAATGACTGTTACTACAAACAAGTCTTTGGTACTCCAATGGGGTCCACCATTTCACCAATTCTTTGTAATTATGTCTTAGACGATTTGATTAAAGATTGTTTGCAACAAATCAATTTTGAAATACCTTTTATAAAAAGATACGTGGATGACTTAATCTTGGCACTACCAGCAGACTCCATACAATTTACTTTAAATGTTTTCAACCAACAAAACCCACACTTGCAATTCACGTGCGAGGAAGAGCGGGAGGGATCTTTGCCCTTCCTTGACATGCGTTTGCATAGATGTGAGGATAATGTTGTGAAAACACAATGGTATAGAAAACCTATATGTAGCAATAGATTCATAAGCTACCATTCCCATCACCCTCCTAGAATGAAAACCAACCTAGTCCTAGCAATGAAAGAACGTGTCAAAAGGTTATCACATCCAGATCATCTCCAACATGATCTAAACCTCTTACGGAATATTTTTGTTGAAAATTCATATCCTCTAAGACTGATTAATAAATTAATTTTTAATGTTCCATTTGTTAACAGAAATAACATTCTCACTAATTCTCAATCAGTGCCCTCAGCACAAAACAATTCTTCTCAAACAAGTGTGTATTTTTATGCCCTTCCGTATATTCCAAAACTAACCGTAGAACTTACTAAAATTTTCAAAGAATTTAAGAACATCAAAATAGCTAACAAGAACATCAAAACCATACGTCAGCTATATAGCAAAATAAAACAACCCCTAACTACTTTAGAGTCAAGAGATGTTGTTTATTGCATTCAATGTACTGAATGTCCATCCACGTACATTGGTGAAACTGGAAGAAATCTGTCTAGTCGTATCATTTCTCATAAGAGTGACTGTAGACTTAATAAACCCACTTGTGCTTTGGCAGAACACACTATCGATCTAGACCATAAGATAGATTTCAACAATGTTAAAATATTAGCCAGAGAGAAAAATAAATTTAAGCGAACATTCTTAGAAATGGTACATATCAGCAAGAGTGATAACAACAATCTGAATAAAAGATCTGAGATCCAGAATCTTAGCAAAATTTACAATTTTATTTTGACTTTTGACTAGGGTTTTCTGCATCTCAGAGTGCTTCATGTTTCGTAAATTCCATTATTAATTGCTATAATTATCATGATTAACTTCAGTTATTATTCAGATGTTCATTTTGTTTTGTTTGTTTGTTTTTTCTAAACCTATTTACTAAATACTATTTTCTTTTTATTTTTTGACATAATAAAACCTTTTTTTAAATTTCCCTCTCAATTCTAAGTTGGTAACATGGTTGGTAGTACCTAAAATCACAAACGGCATTTTGTTAGACATCAGTTTGAAAGTTTGTTTTTTGTAGTTACATCGAACTATTTAAACAACAATAGTTCCTCCTACTACCTCTTTCTGTTCGTGAGATGTGACTGAATTCAAACCTGCGAAGACGACTGTTTTTTGTCAAACATGTCGTCTTATTTTTTACTTTTTAAACTTTGTAACATGTTCTTTAATTTTTAAGTATTTTAAAGTTTTTAAAATTTTTAATGCCTTCAATAATTCAGGTCACATTATGTTATTAACGTTGTGTTTTATATGCTATGAATCTTACTTTCTGGTAAGTTTTTATAACTTTTATATTACATCAGCCTAATGTTATAACACAGTAATTTTCATTGTAGACCTTGATAAAGGTGGCAAATAACCACCGAAAGCTCGGAATTCAGAATAAATAGTACGCCTTAGCAAAGGTCTATTTTTTATTGACTACCACACCCAAAAAGAAAAAAGTATTTACATATATATATATATATATATATATATATATATATATATATATATATATATATATATATATATATATATATATATGGAAGAAGCATAAATTTGACATTGAAAACATTAAAATTTTAAAAACAGAAAAAAACAAAAAGAAAAGGGAGATATACGAATCAATAGAAATAAAAAGAAACACCAACGCAATAAATGACAAACAAGATATACAAAACCTAAATAAAATATATTTCAATCTGATTTAAACAATAACAATATAACATCATAAAAAGCTCTTTAAGTCATAACATACACACCTTACCTTTTTCAAAAACATCAACGATACGCCCATATAAAAATAATTATATACTAATGACAGTAAACAATGAGATATCAGATATCAACTTTTATATGTCAGTTCGTTAATGTCTGTGTCACGTTTTACGTTTTGGTAAGTCATATATATATACATATTTTACAATATCTGTTTGTCCTTATATTTATACACATTTTAGAATCTTGACAAAGGCAAGGATGTCCTGCCGAAACGTTGATTAATTGCAATGGAAAATAAAATCTAGTTCCACATGTAACATATCTTTATTGAACCTAACAGGAAAAAGGAACATTTTTATGCTCGAGACAGGAAGAGAGAGAAAATATATCTTATGTCTCTCTCGTACCTACTCATTTTCTTCCATATAATTTGCAAATTTCCAAGGCCGACCGTGCGTATAGAAGTATAACTTCAAAAACGATAAATCTGGATACGCCCTTTTTCAAGTAAACGCGAAACAATAAGTAATTTAACTAGAGAAATAATACTAGACAATTATTTGTTTAGAATTTTACAAGATTGTTAAAAAGTTATTTCAAACTATTAATAAATATGACAGGGTCAAGGATAGAGAAGAAAGATAAAAACATGAGAAACGCAATACCAATCTCAACAAGATTAGCAATCGTTCTTTGGTTTTTGGCGACTGGTGACTCCTATATTAGTTTAGTGTATTTATTCAGGGTGCACTACTCTTTCATTTGTCTCATAGTTTCAGAAGTATGTCAAGCTTTAACAGATAGTGTAAAGAAATATATCTTTTAATGACACAATCTGGAAGAACAAATACCTAAGATAAGACACAAAAACAAGAATCTAAAAAGAACCTTTAGATTCTTATTAGACCTATATTAACATACACGGCAGACACAAGACCTGACTGTCTGTTGGATAGGGAGGGAAGCAAAAGTATAACAATAGCATCCAATATAGAAGGCATAAATGGATGGGTGACAAAACTGAAATAGGAGTGGAACGAACAAATTAGTAGAATGGCAGAGGATAGGATAGTAAGAATAGAATGAGATAAGTCACCAAATGGACGAAGAAGTGTTGGCAGACCAGGAAAAAGATGGTGCGATAATTTAAACAATTTAGGAGGCTAACATTGTAGAAGAAACAGGCTTTAAAGCCTAGATACAAGAAGGAAGAAGAAGAAGCTTCTTATGCCAACCAATGTACAACTTTGCCACCTATTTTTAATTACTTTTTTGTGTTCATTTTCCGTATATGTCCTTAAACTTCTAAATTTTTTATAAGCTTCGTCCTGTGTTATATTGAATTCTTGTGCACTGGCCGTTCAAGTATCTTTCTTTGCATTACTGTCTTTGTTTGATGTATTTTCTACATACTACAACTCTGGACGTAAATGTACTGCATATTAAAACTTATTGTGTTTTCATTTGACCACGTCTTCATATTTTTTTGTATGTTTTGACAAAACCAAATTAAATTTCTACAGAGTAGCCGAGCAACAGGCAACAAGCAGTTCGACTTTATCGGCAACGCATCAGCCACTAACTGCAATAGTGTTCAAATACCAGCAAGATTTCGGCCACATGGTTCGAATATTTTCTTTAGATAGCTGCAATGTTACCAGCAACATACCGAGTATATATTTTCGGCAACATATTGCTTTAAAAAATAGCCCGTCTAAATGCACCTTAAGATTTAAGTATAAATTTATTACTGGAGGATTTACTAGATGTTACTTCTCTCAAGTTATGTATATAATGTAATTTTATTTACTTAAAGCTCTTAAAAAGATTACAAATTTAGACTTACACACTTAAAAAAATATTAAAAAAAAAATAAAATTGTAGTACTAAATATTTAAGGACAATTTGCAGATTGTCCTTAAACTGTAACTCTATTAAAATATTATTATAAAATCGTTTTAATATTTTATTAATACTATCTTATAAATAGAAGCATCTTGTTTAAAAGACCACAAATCAAAATTCAGAACGCAACCGGAAGAAAAGAAAACCACATTGCCTGATACTGTAACTTGCGTCTAGCTATCTCGTTGTAGTAAATTTAGTCTTTATATATATTCCACCTGTACAAGTGCACAGAAAATCAACCATGAAAATCTTAACAATTTTCCTTTACGCTCTGGCAATTTTGTGTGCTTCGCAAGCAAAGATTTTCAAACGATGTGAAGTCGTTCATAAGTTGGAGAAACATGGAGTGCCAGATTGGCAAATACCGACTTTTACTTGCCTCGCGAAGTGGGAATCAAAATACGACTCAGGAAAACTTGATTACAAAACTGGAAGGCACGGAATTTTTCAAATCAGCGAGAAAGTGTGGTATGTACAAAAATTTTTTTGGGTGTATATTGCTCTAAGAAGTCAAGCTAATCAGGTAGATCAAATAATAAATGAGAAAATAAAGACGTCAGTTCTTTATTTATTAAAAAGTTATGTATTTGTTGCATTGTATGTTTTATAATATATCATATAACGACGACAGTAAAGACCCTATTACGCAAGAGTCAGAAAATTACGACAATGAGCAAGTGATGTAATACACATTGCTGCATAACATACTTACTTCACGAACTGAGTTAACATTACACATTTTAACGAAAAATTTTCTTAACAAGTTAAAATAAATCCAAGAATGTGTGAAATTAAATGTATTTTTTGTTTTATTATATATTAAACCAATACAACTACAGTTCTTTTTCTTCTTAGACTGCCGTCTCCCTACGTAGATTAGCAATTATAATGGCTATTTTTATTTTTGAACTTGCTGCTCTAAACAAATCAATAAATCTGCATTGATACCAATCACATAGATTCTTCAACCATGAGTTCTGACTTCAGCCAATAAATCTTCTTCCTTGAATCTTTCGCTGTATTATGAGTCTCAAACTATCATATTTTGGTCCCCTCATCACGCGGCCTAGGTATTAACGTTTTCTGGTTTGTATAGTGGTAATTAGTTCTGTTTCTTTACCAACCCTCTCCAGTACTTTTTTATTATACTCTGCGGTATACCCACAGTTTGAAAGCCTCGATTCTTTTTAAATTGCATTTTTTTAATGTCCAAGTCTTATCTCCATATAATAATATAGAAAATATATAACAGCGAATGGTACGTAGTCTGATGTCCAAATTTAGATTTTTGCACGTTGGGAGTGGCTTTATTCGTATAAATGCTGATCTGGCAATCGCTATTCGCCTGTTTATTTCTGCAGCATGATCATCGGTTTCATTAATCAAAGTTCCCAAGTACTGATATTTTTCTACTTGTTCGATCACGTTACCATTGATTGTCAATAGGTGATGTATATTTTGTGGTGTTTTTGTAATTAGCATGTACTTCGTTTTTTTAGCGTTTATAGTAATTCCCATCTCAGCACTATTTATACTTAAGCTTTCGATAAGATGTTGCAGATCTTATATACTCGTTGCTATGATCACAGTGTCGTCTGCATTACGTAAGTTGTAAATTAATTTTCCGTTAACGGTAACTCCCGCTTTAATATTATTGAGCGTGTTTTGAAAAATTTGTTCAGAATATAAGTTAAACAAAACTGGCGATAAAACACATCCCTGTCTAACTCCTATACAGATCTTCATTTCTTCTTAGTGTTGCCCATCAATTTGAACTATGGCACTTTGGTTTCAATATAATGTTTGCACTATATTTATGATTTTACTGTCAATGCACTTGTTCATAAGTATTAATATTAGTTTGTCATGTTTTACTTTGTCGAAAGCTTTTTCGTAGTCAACAAAGCACAAGTGTAGATCAACGTTTACATCCCGACATCGTTTAATCAATATGTTGATGGCAATAGTCCAACTGTGTCTCGCTAATATCCTCCTCTAACCTTTCATATATTCTCTTATGTATTACTTTCAGCAGTACTTTTAAAGTATGACTCATGAGGCTTACTGTTTGATAATCAGAGCACTCTTTTGCTGCTTGTTTTTTAGGAATGGTTGTAAATGCTGACTTCAGCTACTCTTGTGGTATTATTTACGTATCGTACACCGTGTTGAAAAAATCTGCCAATACTTTCAAGTTATCCTCTTCCACTAGTTTTCACAGTTCTACTGGTATTTTATCTAATCTCTTAGTATTACACCTTTTTTGTCTTGTAAGTGTCCTTGCTGTTTATTTCGACCCATTCTATTTCTAGTTCTCCTATCTCTTTACATTGTTTCGTCAAATAGATTTCCTTAGCTGTTTTGAGTTTTTCCTTAATTATTCGTTGTATTTCTCTATACTTCTGTAGATATTTTCCTTTATATTTCCTTCTTTTTTCCATCTGTAGTAGCATTTCTTCTATTATCCACTGTTTTTTAGCCTCTGCCCTATGTTGTATCAAACTTCCTTGAGCTGGGTCCAGTTAATGTGTTTTTTATTTTTTAGATTTTAAGCATTTTTTTCATTAATTTTTAGTTGTTGTTTTCTGATTTCTGCCCCAGGATAAGTTTTAACTGAGGTTATAGAGTTTTTATATCTGCTATTTACGAGTACAAAGTCTATCTCGTTTCTGACAATGTGGTTTTCTGTATGTAAAGAAGACGTCCATGTATATAGTCGTCTCTTAGGAAGCTAAAATCAAGTATTGGCAATTACCATATTCTTTTCTTGGCAGAATTCTATGAGCCTTTCTCCTCTCTTGTTTCTAGTTCCTAATCTGAACTGTCCAACTATATTTTCAACTGTACCTACTCCAATTTTTGCAAAAAAGTCTCCTAAAATGTAAGTAATATCTCTAGATTTTGTTAACTTGATTATGTTGTGCAATTCTGAATAAAAGTTTTCGATCTCATCTTTGGTCTTATCAGCTGTGAGAGCATAGACTTGGATTATATTAATATTACAGTTCCGTGCTTGAATTTTTAGCCTTATTATTCTTTTTGACTTTTGAATAACACTTACCACTGATTTTCTAATAGTGTTGCTTATGATGAAGGCTACTCCGTATCGATGATCAGTTTTGTCTCCTCCAGTTTAATAAATATTGTGGCTATTTATTGATACCTCTCTATTTCCTGACCATTATACATCGCTATCCCCCAAGTATATTTATATTTAGCCTCTCTTTCTCTTTAATAACAATATGGTGTTTTCCAGGCTGATACATACTTCTTACATTCCAGGTAGCGATTTTTATCTGAGAGGGTTGAGTATTTTCTTTTTGGTTTTTTGTGCAAGGGTTTCACATGTTGACGACTGAGGAGGCCTTGCGTTCTGATGGTTGTCCTCCCCTGACTGATTTTGTTCTCTGATTACCATAATCAATAATGCATCTGGCGAAAATAGTGCTAGCCATTATAGTTTATACTAGAGATGTCATCAATCTTACTTAATCTTTAATGCAGTGGTTTCTCGTTGCCTTCTGCATTCTAATGGCGTTGATCACTTTCTTGGTTCTTTCGCCTTGGACACCAATTTCCCAGTCTCAGGACAACAGAGTGTCCTTTCACTAGCTCATCCGCCCCAAACCGTTGGCTATTACATGGTGGATTGCTTATCCCGGCAAACAGTTGCACGTCAGAGTCTCGTTAGTTATCTAGGATGTACCAGAAGACCATGATCTAGATCATCATACGAGCAGGTGAGGTTGACATTTGAATAGGAGTCTAGTAGGGCTATATGTTGCGCTTCAGTATCCCATTACATCCCACTACAACTACAGTTGGTGCAGTATAAATTCTGATGCACGTAATTCTCTACATAAAAGATCAGTTGATAATGTTGACAAATTATAAAAAATTCCTAAATTAATTTTAAATCAGATATATCACATAAATATTGCAGAAGTGGATTATACAACAAAACAAATTAATATTAAATGTAAATACATAAAAAAAACTTGAAATAGAAAACAAAAAGTAGGTAAAAGTATTATGTCAAAAACAATTTGAGACGTTTGTGCAGTATAAAGAAGTAAAATAGAATAACAAAACAACACTTGTTTCATTACTTATCGATTTACTTTAAAATATTTTGTTACAACTAGATTATCAAATGTTAATGAACATTCTTTTTTTCAGCTTTATTTAAGTTTTAGTTTTCTGATCGATACGTTAGAATTGTGCATAATGATAGTTATATCATAATGTTTGAAGAGTGTAAAAAATGTCGTGCTTAACAGTTACATAATAGTACATGCTAGTATTTCCAGATTTTAGTCTTTCTTATACTTTTTCATTTATCTTATGCTTTCTTAAATAAACTTAATTTTAATGCTCAAAGAGCCACAAGATGACACTTAAAAAATACTGTCTCTGTCACAGCTGCTACTGGAATCACTGTCATCGTTTATATTAATTATAGTCAATTGAATTTCCTGTCGGTCTAGTATGCTCTCGGTCATACCACTTTTCAATTACATTTTCTCTGTAACTTATAGAATTTTGCCATATCTGGGGAGTAATAGTTTGTAAAGCTTTTTTCCAAATGTTTAAAGCATCACATTATTTAATTCCATCTCTATTAGTATGTTGATTGTAATAGTTTTTGACAATTTCCCATATTAATTCTATGGAACGGAAAATGAAGTCGTATGGTGGACCACGTAATACTTTATGGCCACATGTTATGCAAAATCATCAACAATGTATTTTGGAGGTGACTTGTTTCTAAAAATTAATATTGATAACCTGAACTAAACTCTCATTGGGCATACTTATTGTGCAATGTTCTCATGTCCTCTCAACTCATAAAAGGCAGTTTATTGTTAGTTAACCAATATTTTATTTCAAATGCACCATTTGAGCACAAAGACATGCTTGGTGCTTTTTGTAACAAATTGATATCATATAGAGCGTTCTTATTCTTCGCGAGCCATATTAGAATTATCCGACGTTGGCGATCACCATTTAGAAGGCTTCTCGATCTTCCGATCGAGGAGCTGGAACGAGTTTCCAGCTGTTCTCCGTGCGTAGAGGTTTGCTCCCCGGCTCTGGAACTCAATTCAAGAATGTATGTTACCTGAAGTCATATTTAATTTAATACTGAACATCACAGTTTTTTATCAACAAGATGTATAATCTTTTATAACTATATGTAATTTAAATGGTTTTTACCCATTTATTTTGGTGGCTCAGGCATTTTAACCTAGCAATTTTAAACCTGATGATGGACTGTTTAGTCCGAAAACGTTTGTTTTTTTGATGTAGCCCTTTTAAGGGTTTTTTAAATAAATATACCCACTTACGAAGACTAACCTGTTTTTTTTTGTGATACGTGGTATACAGCCAGCTACAGGAATTGTTTTTCTTGTGGATTTTATTCTTAGGAAAATTTTAAGAGTGTGGCTCATTAGGTTAATTAATCGGTA